AAATTCTGGGAGTTGAAGTCCACCCATCTTAAAGTTGCTGAGGTTGAGGAACCCTGCTGTAGCCCATGTCCCCTGATCCAGAAACTATGCAAGATGGATCTTTGTAGGGAAGGGGAAAACAGGGCACAGCACCCCCTGTAGAGATCCCCATAGTGACCAACTTTCCCACGTCTAGTGAGCAAAGGTGGGGTCCTCCCTCTGCCCTCTTCTCAGATGGTGGCAGTGGGCCTGACCACTGGGGAAGGAGAAATGGGGACAGATGGGATCTGTTCACATTCTCTGATGACCCTCTGCCAGGCCTGGAGACAGAGGACCGAGTGCAGGAACTGGTGGAGGAGCATAGCCCAGCAGCACAGCACCCACTTTGCATGTTGGAAGCCCAGAATCCAGTGCCAAGCAGCTCCAGTGAGAAGGTCCTGGAATCGCAAAGGGTCCCTCCCTCCAGGTCCCCCCAGGGGCAAACGGGAGGTTTAGAAGACTCCTGCCGTTCCGACTGTTGCAGCCACAAAGAGGGCAGGCAGTGTGCTTTTTTGCTGCTTTGGCCTCCCCAGGTCCAAGATTTGGGGTGATTTAATCCAGATGGTCATGCAAACAGCAGTGAAATCTAACGTATTGGGCCAGCCCCATGAAGGTCCAGCAGCCTGCAAGGATGCTGGCTGTTCTCCATCCGGGACACTGCTTCCCTCCCCTCTCTCTTGCAACCTGGTGCTGGGGTTTGCTGATCAAGGTGGGTGTGCTTGTTTGCTCCAGCAGCCGCCGGCCGCCTGGCACCAATGCTATGCAAATTGGAATGGCTGTTAATCATGTAAAAATGTCACAATTACCATATCCTTATGCAAGCAGGCTGATGAAGAAGCTACTAGCTAGTCAGTGCTGGTTGATACCTGGGGAGTCCTGGCCCACAACACTCTGATTTTGCACCACCAAACCCGGTTCCTTTTGTATCTCTGGCCAGTGCCCAGCGCAAGACGGAAAGGAAAAAAAGGGAAATCAACTCTTTTGTTCTTGAACGGTCGTACTCTTAATCATGGGATGTGCTTGCTTGGGAAGGCATTTGCAGATAGAAGCTTTTGTGCCACTGTGGTTGTCCCCAGTCAAAATTTAGGTAGTGGAGCACCTTGAAGGTAGGGGATTGCCCAGTTGTGCCCACCTCAACTTGGTGTTTTGGGCAATGGAAGTTGTAGTCCAACACATCGGGAAAATAACCAGTTGCATTCTAGGCAAGATCAACATTCTGCAGGGAGATGATAGATAGATAGATAGATAGATAGATAGATAGATAGATAGATAGATAGATAGATAGATAGATAGAT